ATGTAAGTTCTGTGGTTTATCTCCCCCCCCCCATCCCTCCCAGCACTCCCTCCTCTGAGGCTTGTCAGTCTGTACCCCACCTCTATGTCTCTGGGTTAATTTTGTTCATCAGTTTGTTTAAATGACAATGTTTATTCATTTTAGAAATACAAAGCCTGGTTTTCTAAGCCCGTGATTTTTAAATTGTTCTTTTTTTTTTCTCTCTCTCCTGTATTTTATGAAGTTTCTACAAAAATTTAGTTTCCAAAGAAAAATAATGTTTCAAAGGGAAAAAAGCAGATAAGCAAAAAGAAGTTATCCATTATTCAGAGGTAATTGCTATTAACATCATCCTTTCTCGATCTTTTCCTGTGCATATAAGTTATATTTATTTTAAAATGAGATGATGTTGTATATGATAAGCTAACAGTCTTCAGTGGAAATAAGCAGTACAAGTCTATTTCCAGGTCACTGTCTGGGCAGGGTCAGTAGGTGATGTTGGAGGGAGAAGGTGGGGTGGCGATGCTCTGCCCCACTCGCTCCTTCCATGGAGTTTTCCCTTCTTGGCCTTCAGCATCTTCACTGAGCAGGAGGATGGGGAGAGAATGGAGGATGGTGAGTGGGGGGGTCTATATGGGCCTGGTCTGGAAAATGCCCACATCATTTCTGCCCACTTTCTATTGGCCGGAACTGAGTCACACGACTGCACCTGATTGCAAGGAATGCTGGGAAATGTAGTCTAGCTGTGGGTCCAAGTGGAAAAGGGAGACTGCTTGTTCAACAACATGCTCATCACTAACTCATTGTATAAAACATCTGAAACTTTTGCTATAGCCATCTGGTTTATTTCAAACATGTTTTTCTGTGCTAACTCTGGTCATCTCTCCATCTCTAAGCTATGCAAAGCTTGCCATCTCTGCCAGATCTTCTAATCAATCTCCCTCCTCTGTTCTTATTGTCTTAGAGTCTATTTCCCTCCAAAAGCAAAGCGGTCATTTAAACTTAAATTTTGTCACTTCCCTTCTTGAAACTTTCCAAAGGGAGTTAAAATAATGCGCCCCCCCCCCCCCCAATCAAGAGAGGCTGGCCTCATCTCTGGTCCCACTGTACCACACTGGCCTCTCCCTGTAATGCCAGACTTGCTCCCCCAGGCCTTGGGACTTGTATCACCCCTGTATGACCTGCCCTCCCCCATCACCTTCCTCTGTCTCCTTCAGGTTACAGCTCAAATGTCCAATATCTTCTTCCCTTCCCTCTATTTAGTTGCATATATTTAACTATAATCATCATCAAAACACTTACCAGCCTCAGAAATCACCAAGCTTGTTTGTTTGCATTATGTGTTTATATTCTGTCTGTTCCTCTTCTAGATTGTGGGTTCCTCGAGGATGGAACTCTACCTTGCTCACATCTGTACCCCTAAACCATGTGTCTGGCACATGGTGGTGGGAACTTAGTAAATATTTGAGGCATGAATGAAGGCCGTTACATTCACATGTATTTTTATTGACCACATTGTAGTCCATGACAGAATTGCTATAAACATTTAGCTGTCTACTTTGGAGGGACTTTTAGATTTCTTTCAGTTAAAAAAATGTTGCCCTGGCCGGTTTGACTCAGCAGTTAAAGTGTTGGCCTGTGGACCAAAGAGTTGCTGGTTCGATTCTGGTCCAGGGCATGTACCTCGGTTGCGGTTTGTCCCTGGTCCTGGTCGGGGTTGTGTGAGAAGAAACCAGTCCATGTATCTCTCTCACATTGATGTCTCTTTCTCTCTCTCTCCCTCTCTCCCTCTCTCCCCCCTTTCCACTCTATCTGAAAATAAATGGAAAAATATCCTCGGGTGAGGATTAAAAACATATGCTTTGAGCCCTGGCCGGTTTGGCTCAGCGGTTAGAGCGTCGGCCTGCGGTCCCGAGAGACCCGGGTTTGGTTCCCGCTAAGGGCATGTACCTCGGTTGCAGTTTGTCCCCGGCTCTGGTCAGTCGTGTGGGTGGCAGCCACTCGATGTGTCCCTTCACGTCGATGTTTCTCTTTCTCTCTGTTCCTCTCTCCCCCTCCTACTCTACCTGAACAAAAAATGGAAAAATGTCCTCGGGTGAGGATTAAAAAACAAAACAAAACAAAAAAAACATATGCTTTGAGGACTATCCTTTTAGCTAGTCGTCTCTCTCTCTCTCCCTCTCTCCCTCTCTCTCTCTCCCCTCTCTCTCTCCTTCCTCCCTTCCTTTCCCCTTCCTTCCTTCCTTCCTTCCTTCCTTCCTTCCTTCCTTCCTTCCTTCCTTCCTTCCTTCCTTCCTTCCTTCGTGTTGTGCACATATCTGTGCTTCTTTTAAGATTGATTCCTAAATGAGAATTTGTTTAGTGAAAGGGTGTGTGTACAAAATGTTAACTGCTCAATAAAGCACTTAAAATTATTACCATTATGTATTTCCTTTTGCCCTGCGAACTCCCTGTTTGCTGATAGAGTTGAGAGCTCTTGTTATTATGCACTCTCAGTAACACTAGAATGTGGGGACTGGTTGGGTGGGGTGTCTTATCTGTATTACTGTATGCCTAGATCTTAGAGCAGGTGCTCATGCTTACTAAATGAATAAATCAGTTTCTGTAAAACTGTTAGTTATACCTTTACTTAAATTCATTTTTTATTCATTTATGCATATAAATGTTTGCTGATTTTAATATGTATGCCTTATCCACCCAGTGTAAGGACATTCACCCAGTGTTCATGTGAACCTCAGGGAACCAGGTATTAGCCAGGTTTTCCTAGTCCCTCCAATCCAGACAAGGTTTAGTCAAGCCCCTGTTGAGTTTGTGGGAAGTATAGGACCCTGCCCAGGATTTCGGAGAATTACAAGGGCTACAAGACAGAGTGATGGGTTCTTACCAGAATTCTTGTTTTCTGCTGTGACTAGTGACTAAATATGTCTTGGTTTCCATTCTAGACACAGTCGCTTCTCTCTCTCCCCCAAATCAGTCCCAAGTGCAAGGCTAGGTGTGGAAACAGACCCGCTGCTTCCGGAAGTGGTTGCCAGGAATCTGCTCACAGGGAGACAGAGAAGATGCATTCCCTAGCCTCCATTTCTTCTTTTGGATGACTCCTCATTGCATCTCAAGTCAAATCTGTAACCCTTAGCCTGGTGGACAAAGATTTGTTTTAACCCATGGTTCTCAGTTTATATGCTATGGGCACTAATGGGCCATAAACTCTTCTTGAACTCTGTACTATGAACTCTACGCAGGTGTGTTGCCCAGTTGTGATCGATGTGTAAAAAATGCTCCACTGTAACATACATCCCTTAAGCTGAGTTGGCCATGGCAGATGCCAGGTGATTGGGAGTGGGTCCAGCCCATGGTGAGAGGCAGAACAGAGCCTTAATCTAGATGACATCTGTGCTGAGAGAGAATCCATGACAAGGGTCTGTGAGGTGAGTGTGTAAGAGAAAGGCCAGGGCCGTCAGTCTGGCAGCTACAGGAACCAGGGACTTTGGTAAACACTTGGGGACACTGTTACCCGTGGCGTTTTTCCCTGACTGGTCTTAATCCTTTCATGAAGGCTGCCAAACACATTACATCCTGCCAAACCCGAGTGCGCCGCATCTGAAAGTGGTTAGAAGCTCACCCAAGTCGAGAAACCTCTTCTGAGCCATACTTGTGCCCTGCGTGTCTGTGTGTGAGCAGCCTGTGTTGGGACGGGGTGGCTGGAGGGACGGTTGAGTGGCTGGAAGAATCCTGGAAAGTAAATGATTTGCAGCGTGGGTTCCAAGGACACGTGTGCCTGCTTGCTCCGGTGGCTGATGACACAGCTTCAGCGTCCTGTTGTCTCCATGTTTCACGTATCCCTGCCTTGATCTCTTTTGACACTGCATGATCCACATACTCAGGTTTCTTTTCCTCACCGATGTTTTGACTAAACATGGGGTGGATGCATTTCATAGGACTTCTCTCGTGCTCCTCAGTGCTTGTGTCCTGAGGGGCTTCGTCTCGAGCCATTTCTTCCTTTTCACTCTTTTTGGATAACTGGCCACTGACCTGTAGTTGTAACTACCAGCTCTACATGGATAACTCCCAAGTCTGTCCCAGACTAGACACCTCTCCTCCTTATCAAGTTGGTCATTTATTTTTTTCTACCTGCTTGTTTCATAGATACTCCTTGAATTCAACTTAGTCCTCTGTTTTCATTTGTATGAACACTTGGTGACCCAAACCGGAAATCTGAGAATATCCTGACTTCTGCCTGTCGCCTCCTTCTGAGCCGCCTGATCTATTCCGAATGTCTTAGCCTAACTCCTTCTCCAGGGCGTGCCCTTTGGCATGGCGCCATCACAGGGTCCTGCACTGTCAGTGTCCTTGTCACTCTGGGCAGACCACAGGCATATCCGTGTATATATTTCAGGGTCTAGCTCAATGCCCAGTGCATAGGAGCCGCTCAGAGAATATTGGAATGAATGAATGAATGCATGCATGAATGGTTTCTGAGATGATTTGGGGTGATTTCCATTTAGGATGGTCGTTTTAGTTCTTTTTACTGGAACCGAGGAATCATGTTTGCTTTTTAGCATGGACATTTTGGAACCACAATGAAGAAGTATTTTACCACATGAAATTCCTTCCTCTCTCAGGCCACTCACACAAATATATACACGTCAAAGGAGGAATTATATATTAAATGTATGCTACCTTGTTGCTGGGGCATTTATCTAGGTGGTTTTATGTGTGCAGGTGTGTCCTTGGCCCAGCTGAAAAATACTTCTTGTCATTGGCAGAAATAATTGATCTGCACGACCTAGTTTGAATTAACCTTGTGCTCGGTTGACCTGGATGCCCTAAGTCTCTCGTGTCATTGGATTCTGAGCTGGAATAAAGCAGCTTTCTGAACTTCAGTGCAAGGGGCAGTGGGCTCTGCTTGAATTGGTTTGTTCTGTATAGTTCTGTCCTGAAGAGGAATCATTGCCTTTGCATGTTGGGTAAAAGTGTGATCCACTGAAGGTCCATTTCTAAAACTTTTTTTCCCCCTCCAACAGGGAGAATCGCGTATTCTGAGAGTGAAGGTTGTTTCTGGAATTGATCTCGCCAAAAAAGACATCTTTGGAGCCAGGTATGTTTACCTTTTTTGTCGTTTTCGTTGGCTTGTTAAACTCGAGCGCTGTTCTGATTGGCATCAGGATCACCGGGAGGCCTTCCCAGCGCAGATCGCTGGGCCCCACCTGCCGTTTCCGTGGAGTCGGTGATGCTGACACAGCTGCTCCAGGGACCACCGCGTGTGCCGAGGCCCAGACCTGGTACCACAACAGTGGTCATCCGGCTGGTCCTTCCAATTGGTCGATTTCATGAGCAAATTGATTCTGATGTTTCTGTTTTTTTTGCAGTGGAAAAATACAGTTTGTGAATAAGTCTGTGCTCCTTTTAATATATTCCTTTTTTAAAAAAAAATTCTAGTTTAGGGAAGGATAAAGTGTCATTTTGTTTTTAAGGAACTAATCCTTGGCAAATACAACCTGAATTAAGAGATTTGGTCACTCGGATGCGTTTGCTGACTTCTAGCAGGGAAGCAGCCTGATCTTTGTGGTGCCTTCGCTTTTTAGTTCGAGTTTTGCACCCGGTGTCATGTAGTATCTTGAACTCGGCCCTCGTGCTTTCGTTGGCTCTCTTCAGTGTGTTGCATTCCGTGTTGGACCAGTAGCAGAGCGAGGTTAGAGCCGCTTGGAACAGGATTGCAACCAGATTCTGAAGAACAAAGACCTTTTATCTTCAGAGAGGAAACATTAGATGTCCCAGTCCAGCGTCCCTGTTTTATGGTTGACGGAGCTTAAGTCTGGAGAGCTTGCTGCGTGCCCAGGTTGCATAAACGGTGGTGCTAGGACAGAGACTACAGTAGGCCTCCCGTCCCCTGCCCAGTGTCCTTGTCACGTTGGGTACACTGTGGGATTTAACTACGAGGGCCGCGGTGGCTGCTGGTCATTACGACACTGGATCATCCTGTGAGTCCCCTGCACTTCCTCTGCAGTGACCCTGTGGTTTCAGGCCTCAGCCTGACATGGGAGACTTATTAAGGAGGCCTCCTTCTGTCTGCTAACCTCATCTTCTCAAACACCCCGAAGGAGATTTTCCTGCCTGTGGGAGGCGGACCTCTTTATTATCTGTCCTGTCATCCTGTGGAGTTTGAATTTTGCCCATCAAAGAAATCGGGAAGTTACTACAATAGCACCTAAAAAATGACCCAAAATACTGATGCAAATTAAAAACCAGGGACATCTTTTAAAAAATGTTTATACTTACGTGTGCTCCGAGTGACTAACTGAGGGTTAGCTAACTGTCACGTCATAGGAAACCTCACGCACAGGGACACTGAGCGCTGGGGAAGGCGGGGGAGCAGACCCCCCCCCCCCGCAGGCTCGCTCTCAGGCGACCCTGAGGCTGCCCTGGCTGGCCTGCCGTGGGCCCGTGTCTTACTTCTTAGACACTCACTCCGGACACAGACGTCTTACTTTTTGGTATTTTTCTCCTACAGAGCACCAAGAACAAGACTGGGCAAATTGACTTTTTAATTTAGACATTCGCATGTTGACTAGTAGACTCTGCTCCTAAGGTCAGAAATGCCTGTTGCTCACACTGACATTTTTCAGTGAATTCGATAGTTTTGCAGGAAGAAATTGGATTTGGAAATTTTCTGCGAGTCCCCCATCCCTTTATTTTAATTGTTTTTGTTTTGTTTTATCCAAAACCCCTCATTAAAAAAAAAGATTCAGATTGTATTTATGTTCAGGAGGTCTGAGGTTAAGCTTGGTAGTGGAATTAGGATCCGAATCTTGGGAGACAGGCCCTGAATTTGTACTGTTTCCTAGGGATGGGGTAGAAAGGAATGAAAGATGAGGCTTCAAGATGTTCATTAGGGAAGTAATAGTGTTGTGTCTGATCGGACCGTGTGCCCGAAAATGAACCAGAAGCTCTAAACCTTAGTTCTGTCCTGAATTTTCCTAGTGTGACAAATACAGCATCAATATGAGCATAAATAGAAAGTTTCCCAGCGTGATAAATACAACACAAACAGGGAGGTAAATGGAAGTGGGGCCCTCTCCCCTGGAGGATGGAGTGCCCTCGCTCTCTAAGGACCCGATTGCCCGGCAGGGAGCTGGAACAGAAGGATCGGGTGGCAGTGCAGGTGTCGCCATGCTGGCCTGTCCCCCTAGGGGGGCATCATCTCTCACCTTTACCTTTTGCCCGGGCAAAGCCTTCCGAGCGCCTGTCGCAGTGAGTGAGTCTGAACTGAGGGTGGCCCTCCTCGTGGCGGGCGCGCTGCGCTTGCGGGGCTGGCCCTGGCAGCTGCCACGCGTGTCTGGGTTTGCTTGTGTGTGCTCTCTGCCCTCGGCCGAAGTGGGATGCTTCTCTCTCTGTCCTTCAGAACCCCAGGCCAGCAGGCACCCCTTCTGCCCCAGCCTGTCCCCGAATGTTCCTCCACCTCTGTCCTTTATTCTCTCTGCACAGAAAAAGGGCTGGGTAGAAATCATATAGACTTGGATGTGTTGACAGACAGGACTTGGGGTCTCTGGGACGTCCTCTCCTGGCTCCTAGGGAGGTTGCCTAGGTCCCTTGGCCTGCGGTGGGGGAGGGTAATGGTGGGTAGGGGAAGAGGCAGGATGTGTTTGTTGGTCCAGGGGTGGTGTTGATGGGATGGGGAGCACAGCTCCCCAGGTCTCCCCGTGGGCCCCTGCCCCAGGAGGCTCCCTAAGGCAGCAGTTCAGAGTACTGGAGTTCGTGTGGTCGGCGTCTGAGCTGGGGGAGGGGAGTCGCCCTCCGCCTAAGTGCCCTCCTTGTCCGCTCTGTCCCAGTCCAGCTCCGAGAACACCAGCTCACTTTGCAGCTTCCTTCCGGCGACGCCGGCCTTCATGGAAGGAGCCTTTGTTGAAAGAAGATTTGATAACGGACCTGCTGCTCTCCTCAAACATCTGAGCAGCTGGTCTGTGTGGGAATGGCAGCCATAGAGAAAGATGTTTTCTTTTGGACCATACTTTCAGGTCAGAGGGGCAGTCATAGACTCTGTCCTCCGAACAGGGACACTTCTGTCGGGAACAAATGCTAAATCAAATGGGATGTCAGGACAGGATGGGGTGGAGACTGGTCACCCCAAGTCAGAGACAGCCAACCTTTATGATCCATACGATGGAAAAAAGATGCTTTGTGGTTTTTTTAAAGTTTATTTTAGAAGCCAAGTAAAAGAAAATCTTTTCCAAAAAGTAGACCATGTGTAAAATGCCAATAAAACATCAAAAAGGAAACAAAACCATGTTGAAACACTGTGTACACTGGGTACCCACTTCCTTTTTGGAAATGGGTCAGCCGTCTTCGTGAGATAAAGCCTGGGGAGGGGTCGAGGAGACAGCCTCCATGTGGGCGTCCTCTTGTCCTGTGCGTTCCTCCGCCCTGGACGCCCACCTCAGTGTCTGCGGGGGATTGTCTCGAACGGGCATCTGAACTGACGTGCCAGTGTCTCCGCCTCCCACTCTCCACCCTGCTGTAGGCACAGACCTAATGCACACTGGCCCCCACTTGCCAGCTGCCTTGGTCTGCATTTGCCTGTGGAGTCACCCCCAGCCTCCTGGTAAGGTGTAGCATTGAAGTCCCTGTGGAACTAAGCCAAGGCCCCTGGTCCTGTTCTCCCCACCCCACCCCTGGCCACAGCCTGCCTTTCAGTGGCATCTCCGCTCCTCGCCCCTGCGCATGGCACATCCTCCTTTCCTCGTGGGGCTCCTGCAGTCCACTCCCTGCAGAATGCGCCCCGCCCCCACCATCACCCAAGTCTGGGCAACTCCTGCCCCTCCTCCAACACCCAGTCAGCTCACGTATCTCCTCTGGCACACGGGGCCCCTCCCGGCCCCCCAGCAGGGATCGCGTCCTCTCTCTGCTGTGCTCTGACGTCTGGACCTACTGAGTGTGGCTCCATCATTTAGAACTGTTGCTCCCCAAATAGACGTGTAGCTTCTGATGGCTAGCGTTGTATTTAGTTACGTATGCTCCAGGTTTTGCATATAATAGAGTCTCAGATACTGGCTGAAAGAGTGCCTGGATCCGGATCCGGTTCTGCTCTGCCTCCCACCCCCACCCCCGCCCGCCCTCCTTCCTCTTTTCCTGCCCCTGCACTGGAAACTCCCCATGCTCGAATCTGCCGTGTTGCCTGTGCTTATGTCTTCCCTCGAGTGGACTCCGCTCACATCCTTTTGGCACGACTCACTGACTCACTCCTGGCCCAGCTCAGGTGGCAGGCAGCACCTCTCCTGGGCTCCCCACCCCCGTCCCCATCAACCCCAGCCCAAGAGGACAAAGGAACTCTTGTCCCTGGGCCGCGGTGGCCATGGCTTCCTCCTCTCTCCAGCTCCCACCTGAGCAGAGTGGTCAGCTCCGAGGCTGTAGCCCTTCGTATTTCTGTGTGTGAGTCTCGGGACTGGGCACATGGCTGTCGCCAGTCATTAGACTTGAATTCAGTAAGTAGAATCTAATCATGGTGTGCTGTGGCCCAGGGCTGTTCTGATTCTCACCGAGGGGCCCGTCAGGCACCTCCCTCACTCCCACCCTGCCATCTGGGCAGGCACTTCATTTTATTTTAATTTTTTTGGTACGTGTCCCTAGCGGGAACCGAACCTGGGACTCTCTGGTCCGCTGAGCCAAACCGGCCAGGGCGGGGCAGGCACATTTTGCAGTTCTCACAAAGGCTCCCTGTAGACCAGGGAAGGGGGCCCGCCTGGACTCCAGGGACAGGGGAGCGTGGAGAAGGCGGCTACGGAAAGCAGTGCGAAGGCCAGTGTGGGGAAGGGATCTCGGGGAGTCAGTAGAATGGCAGGTGTGGGGTGGTCTCCATTGGATGCTGATGTCTGTGGAAAATGACCACTTCACACCTCACAGAAGAACACGCTCTTGTGATGGTGGAATCAGAAACTGTACTTGGGATGCACGAGGCCTGGCTGTGGCTCAGTGAAGGGCAGACCCGGGTCAGCCTGGCTGTCACTCCGCACAGGAGGGGCGGGCCCTGGACCAGGAACCTCGCCAGCCGTTACAGGCAGGGTCAGTGGGATGACTCTGGACTTATGGGGGAGCCTTCTGATG